TTCCTCATTACCACCGAGATGCATTTTCACACAACGCCCCTCAACATCATACACACATACAGACAATGTATGCTGGCTCAATTGTTTGACCTTCATCATGAGACGAGCATCAAATGGACAATCGACATTCACATAACAGTTCACTGATAGAAGAGCGATTTGGAGATACTGACCACTCGAGCGTCACAAGAAAACTGGTGTGACTGCAAGAATGAGCTTCTCGCAAAAGGCTTGTGTGTTTCTACTGATGTGTAAGCTCTGATCTTTAGTTCTAATTTGCTGTTTAAAGATGAATTATTTAATGTATCTTTTAGTAATATGTATTTTGATGCTAAATGTTACGTCGTACGTTGTGTTTTAGCAGTGCTCTGTGCTGAAATCAACCATAGCGTTAGTGGCTGGTCATGTCAGTCAAGCTTGCATCAGCTGATTCACAGCATGCTTATATAAGTTCTATTCACTATTTTTCCCTAATTACCCTCCTCCATCCCCAGCTCCTCCTTTCGTCCACATTCAGGACTTGGCCTTCTGATACTCCTTGTTAAACGTTAATGATATCTGCTATACATTTATGTTAGTTCTTTGGCAATATGGTCCAGACAGAAGTGTGCTGATGTGTGTGTGTGTGTGTGTGTGTGTGTAGTGAGCAGTTCACAGTGTGTGGATATTACAGCGACAGGAACAGAGGGAGAACAAGCGTTCATTGTGTGTCCTTATGCTAAAGGATATGAAAAAGCTTACAAAGGCTTTTACAAAGGAAATTACAAAGATTATGACGTTATACTACAATCTAATGGAGGAGAGACCTCAGTCAGTGGCAGATTCTCACTGCGGGATGATGGCAAGATGAGATCATTGACAGTGACCATCAGAAACCTGAGGATGGAAGATGCTGGACGGTACATCTGTCGAGCTGGATATGGATACATTAAACAAATCCATCTAAATGTGATCACAGGTGTGGTGTACAATAGTAAACAACAATCTGTTTCATCCACTGTGCTTTATGCTGTGATCAATGATCATTTTATTAATATATGTGTTTCGTTTGAATGGTGTGATGATTCTCCTTGTTTTTCAGCTCCTCAGAGGCCAAGACCTGTCCAGATTTTTACCTCCACCATTCATCCAGGTACTAGATATTCATTACTACATATTCAATACTGTGTCAGTATAACAGCACAATCTATATTTCCCTTCAGATCAAACGGTCAGCTCATTTTCAAACACACCACCCCATTTGAGCACATCAGACTTGAAGCCACAATCCAGCTCCACCACGATCACAGATCATCACATCTCCTCACCAGGTCAGATCAGCTTCTGCCCTTCCTCTCTCAGTAACTTTCCTTTCATATGCTTTATGTCTGTATGATGTCACGTTGATTTCTTCATCTGACTGATATTTTTGCTTTTACGGACACTCTCTACATCCCCATTCGAGTTGGTGGTTCTCGCATTATCACAGCTGGACTTTTGCTTCTGTTGGTTTGGATGTCTGCCTGCGTCTACTTGGGTTTGCTGTGGATTGATGTGTCTTCATTGAACATAAACATATGATACACTTCCCACAAGCTTCTATCTCTAAAGCAAAACCAGTATCTGTTTAAAGACACTTATGACTGGTTTGCTGCGGCCCAAGCAGTGCATTCATCAGAGCTCAGGATGCAATTACATCCCTTCTTCGTCTTCCCTCATCTCGGTCCTTAATTCTCGATCCTTAATTGCTGATGGAAGAACAAAAGACTTTCACTCTCGTGTTGTCTTTGGTAATGTATTATCACTGGCCTGTTCAGAGAGGAATTCCTGTGCTGTGGTGACTACACACCTTTTAAATGCTGTATTATTCAGTGTAATAATAATAATAATAATAATAATAATAATAATTCATTACATTTATATAGCACTTTCTAAGCACGCAAAGCGCTCTACATTGTGAGGGGGTATCTCCTCGTCCACCACCAGTGTGCAGCATCCACCTGGATGATGCAACAGCAGCCATAGTGCGCCAGAACGCCCACCACACACCATCTTATTGGTGGAGAGGAGACAGAATGATGAAGCCAATCGTTAGATATGGGGATTGTTAGGAGGCCATGATGATCAGAGGCCAATGGGCGAATTTGGCCAGGATGCCGAGGTCACACCTCTACTCTTTTCGAAAGACATCCTGGGATTTTTAATGACCACAGAGAGTCAGGACCTCGGTTTAACGTCTCATCTGAAGGACGGTGCTTTTTTACAGTATAGTGTTCCCGTCACTATACTGGGGCGTTAGGACCCACACAGACCACAGGGTGATCACCCCCTGCTGGCCTCACTAACACCTCTTCCAGCAGCAACCTAGTCTTCCCAGGAGGTCTCCCATCCAGGAACTGACCAGCTCAACCCTGCTTAACTTCAGTGGGAGACCAGTCTTGGGCTGCAGGGCGATATGGCTGCTGGCGTACACTCTGTTTCTTTCTGAAACTTGGCACAAACAGGATGATGGCTCCAATTTAATCAGCTGAGCCAAGCAGGCTTTGGACTCTTCGGTCTTCCGCGGCCTACTACTACTGGTCTGGCCAGCCTTCGAAAACACAGTCATTCTAGCAGCAATGTTGTTTTGCGCTATGCACATACAAGGGCTGTCTGAAAATTATCCAGCCATGTAATATGAAAAATAGAAACATTTATTAAAGAAGATACAATTTAAAAGAAACATTGCACATAGGAAAATGACGCCTCAGTCCCCTTCAAAGGTGATTTTAGTTTTGGGGAAAGCCAGAAGTCGCAGGGCACTGAATCTCTGCTGTAGCGGCACTGAGTCACCTGGGTGAATTTATATTTTACCAAAAAACAGGCCTTGTGTACTAGGCGTTATGGTAACAGAATCTTTCTTGTCTTTTATAAACATTTTATTTCAGGACTGCTTTTAATTAATTTTTTGTTGTTGTTGTTGTTTTTTTATGTTTAATCTATATGTTTTATTCCTAGCTGTTTTTGTGTTTGCTTTTGTTTTAAAGTGCTTTGAGAAAGTAACTCAAAGGTGCTGTACAAAATGCTTTCTAGTCTCTAATAACAGAACATCTACACTGTGCAAAATGATTTTTTTGAAGGTGTAAATAAAGCAAAAGTTATTGGAGTATGTTTACAAGTAAAAACGTTTAATTTCATGTTCAATTAAATGTGTTCAATTCAATTCAGTGTACTTGAAATCAGATCTAATCATTCAGAACAATTCTAAATAAAACAGTGGGTTTTTTCAAATTGGATTTCATTTTTTCTTTGTCTTCAGAATTATTTGAGTCATATTCTTGCAGGACTGGACAACATATTTGCGACTGTGGCACTGGATTAAAGCTAGCATGGGAGTTTTAAGAGTAATGTAATATTCATCTATTACAGGTTTGATCTCCTCTTCTGCTGAAGGGCTTCATCTGACAGAAAAGAGAAGAAAAGATGTGAGTCAGGATCATCTTCGCCTAACATATCTATAATTAACTGTGTCATGAACTTTAGTTCTTCTCAAGTCAGGGTTTACATCCTTGCTCACTGATGATGAAGCAATCATTTCCTTTTTCCAATTCCACAGAATGCTTATGAGAAAGGAAACCCAGCTGTGATCTCAAACCTACACACAGCTCAAAGTGATGACGGTTCTGCTGCAAACACAGAAGCAGTCGACACAGACCTCGACTACATGAATGTTGCTGCTGCAGTGAGAAACGGTGTGGATCCAGATCAGATCTACACAGAACTGAACTCAAGTAGACATAGTGACGTTTATCAGAGTCTCAGAACTGATTCTGTTCAAGAAGAGTCCGTCTATCACAGTATTGATCAAACACCGGACTGAACACTGAAGCCTCATCAACAAATTATCAAAACCCTTTTTTTTTGTTACTTTTATTGAATATGAATATTGCATAAACTTTGAAAATGGTACTGTAGTCTTAAATAATCTTGTTAGCCTAATAAATGTAAAATGGGTGTAAATATGATCACTTTATCTGTAAACGGTGATGTTCACTAATTAGGGAGTGGCTAATCAGGGCAATGACATCATCACGCTACTGACTGGCTGATGACATCACAAGAAAACAATCTTCACTGTGGCTTTCCTCAGCTGAAATATTTGTAACTGAAATGTTGCAAAATTATACATATTTTGTCAGGAAACATTTTGAGTGGTCATCAAGGGAAAATACGTGATTCTGATTAGATTTTGGTCAATCCGATCGAATTGGGTCAATTCTTGAAAATGGGTAGTTCAACATTTAAAAAAAAAAGGATTCTAAAATTGGATTACATCACTTTTTTTGGATCTGTATCAAACCTTTCAGTAAGACTGAGATACCTTTGATAAAAGAAGTAATGCAACTTAAAAAAAATTATCAGGAAAATGCACTATTTGTATCATATGCACACAGATTTATATTTTTATTTTGCTCTTGACTCATTTAACCATTATAGTAGAAGTAGACATTAGGCTATAATAATCCATAAATACTGCCCAAAACAGCTTTCAGTATCAAACAAAAATAATCGTTATTCATCTTCAGGTCATTGATCACTGTATATTAATCATCAGAGATGAACCACTTCAAAGTAGTTTTTAGTTG